ATGCTTTCATTATTTTATAATCACAGTAATGATCCTTTTGTATTTTTTATTGTTTCTCGCTACTTTAATTTTGTTGGGGGGAGTTGTTTTTGGTTTTGTTTTGTGTGTCCTTGTGTGTTTGTTTCTAGGAGGCCATGCTACAGATTGGCAGATAAATTATGGGGCTGTATGCAGGCATGGAGGAAAATGCTCAGCCCTGGGTAGACGTAGGTAACAATAGCCAGAACAGAAAGGCTTCTAGGAGCTAGCTGATCTGGAGTCTTATGCACTGAGACACGTCACGGTCAGCATGTCCTCCCTCTGCCCCAGATCCACTGCAAACGAGCAGTTTGAGATGCAGTCCAATCCCTCTGGAGCAATTGGAATGCAGATGGCAAGGAAGGCTGAAGCTGATTTCCTCCTCTCCTTCTGCTATACTAAATGTTCGGGCAATAACAAAGAGATTCCACCGAATGGAGATCAAATGTTCCTCTGAAGGGGTTAACCTGGGCAATATCCAAATATAGTAGCTTCAGCAGCTTTTCTTTTATGAAGGAAAATTTGTATCATTCTCGTAAACTGTACTCCTTATACTGAATCGTTTATTTTTCCACAGAGAAAGATGGCTGTGCGTGTAGATTCATTATGGAGAGAGCTGCTATGCGCTGGTTTGTCTTGATGGAACGAGAGCGTTTCATGCTGCTCCCTGATGCGGCGAGTTTCTATCACAGTAAGTGGTCCCTAGCCCCTGAGGACAGTCCCTGCAGGCAGGACACACGCTGGCTACAGGGACTTTGCCCAGCACCCGTGGGGCAGGATTTGGGGAGGTTCATACAACTCCGCTCGTACCTCACTTGGATCTCAGCGCCGGTCCAGTGGGGTTCAGTGACCAGGTTACTTGTACTCCAGGTTCTGTGCTTGGGGAGCTCCCTATCAGCCGGAGGATATAAAACTGGGCCCCAGACAGCGAGGAGCGGGGACTGGAGCTGCCCTGTTAGCACAACTGGCAGGTGACTTGCTGATAATCCTAAGCATATTGACCACCATTGATCACAAGCAAGAGATTTTGCTTTCTCCTGGGGCTGAGGCACAAAGCTCGGCATATTTTTTTTCTTTATAATGAGATGCACAATGAAAGGAGGAAAAGCAAATTTAATTATAAAGCTGAGTCTTCTTCCCCTCTCTGTATTTCTGGACTGGGAAGTGTAATCATCTCCCCTTTGATGCAAGAATGAATTCAGCAGCATGCATTGTTAAATTATTATTTATTTAAAATGAAAGGAAATTATTTTCAGTACAGAGTCGGTTTCTAGCCCAGTGAGGAGAACAGCAGGGGGAGAAAATCAGCAAGAGAAGTATCTCATGGGTGCAACAATCTATATATTTGAATATATATATATATATGTACATGCACATATGCATACAGCTGGTAAAGAGTCAGGGCAATTGCACCCCAGGCGTGCATGGTACCTAGATGTATAGGCCCTCTTGCTGGCACACAGCTCTTGGGAAAGCTGAGTGTATCTTGTTCACCCCTCTAGAATCCCCATTGCCTGTTGAGTTGTACCATTATCACATCTCACTCCTTTAAAATAGTTCACTATATTGAGTTGTAAGGCCACATTTTTTAGATGAGGAAGCAAAAGCAAAGACCTGCAAAGAAATATGTGCAAGGCCAGGCTGTGGATCAGTGAATGAGCCAGGAATAGAATTTGGTAGCCACAGCCCATGACTGCAGTAAGCTTAACATGCCTCTCCTCTATAAAAGAAACTGGGGACACTGCACGTGCTCTTTGGGACAAGCACGATGTCTTTGGTGCATTTTTGCACCTTGCATAGCACAGAGGAGTCTTGACTCAGATGCCCCTGCTGCTGCCATAGTATGACTAACAATAATTCACCAAACGAGAACCATTCTTGTTTGTCAGAACATCATTTTTCAGGACAGAATTTTGTTTGACCTATCAGTTTGTTTTTTTGGATCAGATCCAGATATTCCTGTGCCCTTGCTGAGCTCTGTTGTTAGGGAGGACAAGCCCATCCGGGCTTGAGTGCCTCTGTCTCATTCTAATTCTCAGAGCTCAGAGCAGCCTGGGACTTTGTGCAAGGCGTTAATGAGGCCCAAGCAAAGGTTGACTTAAAAAATAAAAAATTCCTTTATGATCTGTGCTGCGGATGGAGCAACAAATGGATAATAAAAGGGCTGTGGAAGCAAATCCTCCCCTTAGATTAAGGAGAATTAAGTCCTTTGGGGAATGTGTAATGTATGAGGCTTCATTATTCTTCTGGGGGAAGCAGGATATGATCTTTTGGTCAGGGAGATAAAAGGATCATAAACTCGAATGGCCCTGCGTAGTCCTCATGACTCAGAGGGCACCAGAGAATCCTCTGAGGGTAAGTTAGGTGCAGCTCAGCCCTTCCTTGTGCTGCAGAAGCAGCTCCTGTGATGCTGCAGATTCTGTTGCCCCACATTCTCATGACACCTCCAGGCAGGTAGGTGCATACGGTCAGCGTGGATGTCTGAGCTGGGGAGATGCTTTCCTGGAGGCAAGTAAAGGACTTCAAAGGATACCCGTGTTGGAAATAAAAATGCCAGAACATCTCTAACCCCTCATTCACAGTCCCAGGTGCTTGTTCTCCAGTCTGAATGTTCCTGCCCTCAGCCTTTCATGAAATCTTCCCTGCTGCTCCTGCTCATGCTCACCCCTCTGTTTTCCTCCCACAGAGGAGCATCCCCATCTCCCTTGTGATGCCCAGCTGCATGTTTTCCCCTTACTTCTGGCTTCCTAATCCTTTTGTTGATTGGCTTATTTTTCTTCACCAGATTTTCAGCTGATTTATGCTTTTCTGATGGGTCCCAAGTCATCCTCCACCTTTCCTCAGCTTTGGGAACACATGCTTAACCTGTAATTAGCATGTCTCAAAACAGCATCTGTCTCTGGAGCAAAAAGAAATGATGTGCTCTGTTCTTCTGCTCGCTATTCAAAAGTAAATTGATTTTTTTTCCAGGAACAGGTGCTCATTTCTTTTCTTTACCTGGTGTTTAAAGCAGATTTGGGGGAAATCATGTTCTCTGGTTTTCTCAGTTTGGAGATGGAGAGAAGTTCTCTAACTGAGGAAGCTCACACATCTTTTTGTTGAAGCGTAGACCAAAGAAAGACAAGGTGCACTCAGTGTTGAGCATGCCACTGCACAGGGGAGTGTTTGTCTGTATTTTTTCTGCATTCCTGGCATGCTTGGAGATTCTGCACAAATTTATATCTCTGTATGTCCCAATAGGTCATATGGGGCAAGCTGCTGTACCTGCATCTTTGTGGACTTAGAGGCCATATGGGCCTTTGTAAGTATTTTGTGTGTTCTTGTGATTGGGTACCCGCCTACATCCTTATAGCTCTATAGTGGGGGGGATGCAGTTATCCGGGGAGCAGCTTTGCTCCTGCTGAGGAATCAGCATTAGGTTAGAATATAAACTCCAATGCCCTATAGTGAAATGCTGCAACTTATTTTAGGTTTCTTCAAGTACAGAGTCCCATAGGGACCCACAGACACCCGTAGGGACCCTATAGACACCCCATAGACACCCCCCAGGACCCCATAGACACCCATAGACACCTGTAGGGACCCTACAGACACCCCACAGACCCCCATAGCAACCCTATAGGCCCTGTAGGGACCTATAGACACCTGTAGGAACCCCATGGATACCCCATAGACCACCATAGGGGAGAGATCCCCCCAAAATATGAACTCAAAAAAGAGGAACCCCCCAAAAATGGAAAGACCCCCCAAAAACAGGGGCACCCATAACGACCCATAGACACCCATAGGGATCCTATAGGCCCCATAGGGACCCATAGACACCTGTAGGGACCCTACAAACAACCCACAGACGCGCATAGCAGCCCTATAGGCCCCATAGGGACCCATAGACACCTGTAGGGACCCTACAAACAACCCACAGACGCGCATAGCAGCCCTATAGGCCCCATAGGGACCCATAGACACCTGTAGGGACCCTACAAACAACCCACAGACGCGCATAGCAGCCCTATAGGCCCCATAGGGACCCATAGACACCTGTAGGGACCCATAGGGCTGCTGAGGACCCCGTAGACACCCATAAGGACCCTATAGCCACCCATAGACACCTGTAGGAGCCCTACAGACACCCCATAAGGACCCCATAGGGACATCATAGGCCCCGTAGGGACCCCATAGCCACGCAGAGATGCCCATAGGGACCCATAGGGCCCCTCTAGGGTCCCTTGAGCCCTATAGAGATCCCAAGGGACCCCATAGATACGCAGGGAATCCTGTAGGGACCCCAGAGACACCCCATAGAGACCCATAGGGACCCTCAGGGACCCCATAGGCCCCTGTAGGGAACCCATAGATCTCTATAGATATCTAGGGGTGTCTATAGGTACTTATAGGGGTTTACAGGTGGCTATAGGGTCTAGAGGTACACATGGGCGTCTATAGGATCCATAAATACCTACAAGATCTATAGACACCTAGACATGTCTATAAGTGCCCATAGGTGCCTATAGGTGCCCATAGGGCTCCATACGCACCACGCGCACGCGCTCCAGGTCCACCTCGGCGCGCCGCAGCTTCTCCCAGCAGCAGTGCCGGGGGCAGCCCCATAGGTGCCCATAGGGGTCTATAGGTTCCCATAGGGGTCTATAGGTGCCCATAGGGATCTATAGGTGCCCATAGGGCTCCATACGCACCACGCGCACGCGCTCCAGGTCCACCTCGGCGCGCCGCAGCTTCTCCCAGCAGCAGTGCCGGGGGCAGCCCCATAGGTGCCCATAGGTATCTATAGGTTCCCATAGGTGTCTATAGGTGCCCATAGGGATCTATAGGTGCCCATAGGGCTCCATACGCACCACGCGCACGCGCTCCAGGTCCACCTCGGCGCGCCGCAGCTTCTCCCAGCAGTAGTGCCGGGGGCAGCCCCATAGGTGCCCATAGGTGTCTATAGGTTCCCATAGGGGTCTATAGGTGCCCATAGGGGTCTATAGGTGCCCACAGGGCTCCATACGCACCACGCGCACGCGCTCCAGGTCCACCTCGGCGCGCCGCAGCTTCTCCCAGCAGTAGTGACGGTGGCAGCGGCGCTTGGGGACGCGGCAGAAGTCGCCCGTGAGCTCGAAGACGTCGCGGACCAGGGGGCAGCCGCAGACCTCGTCCGCGGGCCCCTATAGGGGCAGCCGCCGGGCGACCTAT